ATCAATGTATGATGTACTCAAGTTGTAGAACAAATTCATTTGATATATTTCTTAGTCTAATGTGCTCATCTGTTTCATAATTGACATATTTAATTAAGTCGTCAAAAATATTACCCACAAAATTACTGATGCCAAACATAAATCTTATGAAAACTATTCGATTGTTTTCTCCATTTTAGTAGAAAATCGTAACAAGCTAAAGATTATATTTGATCAATTTATTCAGTCGCTGTCACTGTAAGTAGATCAGTAAATGCTAATCGCAATAACTGCTTGTTCATCTGAAAGCTAGATATCGTTATATAAAAATCTGATCATTCTGGGTACTGGTTATTTACCGACATTAACAGAACAGAACAAATACATTATACTTGAGACTATATCAATTTACATACGAATACAAATCAATAAAATAATACAAATAGATTTTTAGTGAAAATCTGTTACATAACATAATTCTCAATCATGAAAATTTCATTTTTGACATTCTATCTATTTTCATAAAAAGAAAAATGAGATAGATTTCTATTCAAATAATATCAGAACAAAATCGAATGTACAATGAAGGAACATAGCGATAAACATCTTCTGAAAAAAACTATTGAATCTGCGACAATTAATCGTTTCACCATAGCACAATTGTGTTGCGTTTCATTTCTTGTAAAAGTCTCTGTTACACTTTTCAAATGTCTATAGTTGACTTTTAATTTGATTAGACGAGGTAAATTTGTTTTTGTTTCATTGAGAAATTGATCGACATAACAAGTACTCACAAAACTAAACCTTAGTGAAATAAGATGAAGATATTCTACAATTATTGAATAGTTGTCGACAGGATGAGGCTTTGGGAATCACCAAAATGGTGATTTAATATTGTGAACAGATAAATATTTAAGTAATGGAAAAGCTCGAGCAACTCGAACGAAGAATTCATGTTTGAATGGAACTCTATCATACAACATCAAATAGGTTACATAGTTGAATATAATGGTCGAAAAATTATTCGTAATCCATTCGAAACGATCAGATCTAAATGAAAGTGAGAAGACCTTGCATAAGACATGGACATCGTCAATGTAGTCTATAGTAAAAGGGACTTGTTGATTTTCTCTATTTTTAAAAGTTTCTTGGGCATCATTATTAGACAGTATCATATGACTAAGAATTTCATTATGAATATGAGTATCATCGACGAATCTAAGTCGATTCTTGATACAAAGATATAGAGTTAATTCTCCGAGATGTGACATACGGCGAAGAAGTCGTACAACTAGATTGTCATATTCAGAAATTTTACTATAACATATTAATGAGAAAGATTACAAATCAGGTAGATTATTCTAGAAAATAGAAAAAAATATCTATAAATACATCTTAATCGATTGAACTAAGGTAGAAATTAAATACGGAAAATTAATTCATAGATATCACTTATTCTTTAAATCTGTTCTTAAACACACACACCTCCGCTCCCTATCAAAATTAAAAAAAAATCCGGGATCAGCAATTTAGGTATATGTATAATGGTGTATAATGTAATTTCTTATATTCAACATACAAGTGAACTGAAACTTTGTGGGTATATAGATCACGATTCCCCTCACGCCATCCAACATTTTAGCTAGATTCCTCTTTAGAGCTCCGATATGTGACAATTTTTACTAATTATGTCTGTTCAAGAGTTAAGAATTTTCGAATCTCCAACGCTATTCTGCTATTACACGAGAGTGTGGGTGTGGGTAGGTATTGTTGTGATTGAGATAAGGTGCTACACTCAGACCCACACTCTCCCTATATTAATGCTGGGTTTCAAGTACGAATGTGTAAGAACTCGCAACTGTCTAGTCGTAATCATTTAATGGAGATATTCATGAAATAATAAGTGATGATAAATCAATAATAAGAATTAATTTGAATAAGTTCATTGTTAATTGTTTGCTTTAAAAATGATTATACTGTAAATGACTGATGATGAATGAGATTTTATTTTAAATCAAAGCAAAGTAATATATATATTATAATTTAATTATAGTTTTAATATTATCATTAATAAATCTAACATCTTCTTTTCTTTCATTGATCTTTGATTAGCCTTAACTACTGCAGCATTATGAATGCTATTTTGATCTTGTCAATAATTTAATAATAATAATATATATTTAATATGAGTGATGTACAACATGATAAGAACATTATTGATCTAGATATTTCTATGAAATGTTAGACATTATTACACATGAATTCACTTAATCGATGCATTTATATCTTATTTTATATAGACGTCTACGAGTTATCTACACTACGAAAAAAGTAACTTCTTTGAACGCATCATTCGTGAGATACCCGTATCACAAATTTGTAATTTATAATAGGATTCACAAAATGCATGAAATCCTATGGTAAACATCTTTTTTAGGATCATAGAGGTTAAAACTGGCTATTATTTATACTTGTTTCCTGTTACCTTGAGTATCTCTATCTGTATCTATCTATATATATACGTATATTTAAATCTATCTTGAATTTTAAATGATCTAGCAAAAAAAAAAGTACATACCTGATTGTACGCGGAAATAGCCTTTAAAAATCGATTAAGATAAATTTGTTAGGCTAAACTCATACATTCAACGGCAGCGTAGATTTCTTAGAGCGAACTTTACTTTATCCTATGTCAATTGAGACATTCCTTGCCTATATAAAAAAGTTGAGATATAAGTGAAGAAGAATTTATTTTTTGTGTCAGCTGTGTGTGAACAATCTCGTTCATATAGACAATATGATGCAAATAAAAAAAGTCAATGATGAAACATTGTGAAGCAACTTTTTCAATCTCAAAATCATCAATAAAAGATTTCTATCATATGGATTCTATATTCTATTATGAAAAGAATACTGATAGTGAATCATTTTACAACGTTACTCAAATTCAATATTTGTATGATTTTATCAGCTAATGTACAGTTCATCAAGTAAAACTTGATGAGTCATGTACGCAGTAGAAAAATCAATTAGTTTAATTTTTTCGTTCAACAGACACGATAGTCAAAAGTTGATGACAGTCATATAGTCAAGAAATACATCAAATCGCTTAATCCATAGTTGTTCCACAATGTCATGTCGTCAGCTTTGTTATTTACATTGTATTCTCTATCGGACGAAACTATTCACAGACAGGAGATTCAAAAAAATTTTTTTTATGGATGACAGTTATAGGAAAAGTCTATGTTAAATCTTATCTCACATGTAATCGAGTAATGTCCACTGTACAAAATCTACTTTGCCACTGAATTGAAGAATTTGTCTTAATCAACTTTGAAGAGCTATTTCTGTATATAATTAGATATCTATTTTTTTTTAAATAGATCATTTAACACTCACAATAGGTGTACATATAGAAGCGCAAGGTCACATAGAACATGAATATACAATTAGAATTGGTTTTGACTCTATAATCCTAAAAAAAAATGTTGACCATCTAATTTCATGCATTTTTTGAATCTTCTTTTGAGATAGATATTTGTGATATATCATATGTCTCGTGAATATTGCATTCGAAAAGCTTGATTTTTTCGTTGCATACATAACTTGCAGACTTCTATCAAATGATGCATTAATGAATCGATTCAGTGAATTCATATGTAATAGCGGTTGACATCACATAGAACTATCTTATGAGGGTACTTTAATATAAAATAAACATTTAGAATGTCCCAAGAGGTAGACATAGTCAGTTGTTAAAGATAAGAACTTCTTAATCTCGTCAATTTCAGTTTTGATTTTTATACTTTAATAAGAATACAAATTTTATTGTTTGATGATCAGTTTTCATTTATATTATATTTGTTGTCTTCTCCTTGTTTTAGTGTATTCATCGTTCTTTGCATAGTTGAAGAGAACGTTTTGAATTATTTGTGTGTTATAAAGAATTATGTAATGTGTATTCTGAATTGAATGATAGATTTTTAGAATGTGAAATATTTGAATTACAAGCTAGAGTAAATTCAGTTTCTTATTTCTCATATGTTCAAATTTAACAATGAATCATAAAAAAAAAGAAATAAATGATTTTATTATCTTTATGACTAAACTAGTTGTTCATAAAGAAACTCAAAACATTGATAAAGGTTATTGTAAAGAATTTGAATATGGTCTATCACTAACTGAGGATTGGCCCGCATAGGAATTGATCGTTTGTCAATAACTTTAACAAGCAGTAATAATATTGAAGAAGGTAATATACTACTTATCATACACATTGGCACAATAATGATCAACGCTATCTCGTTCTTCTTTTACTAAAATATAAAATATTGTATATATCTACAATTATGTTCAATGCAAATAAATCATTTTTAAATCGTTTATTCTGAAAAAGAATTTTAAAGTAAATTGATCAAATGAAGATGTTAATGAAGTTTTATCATGAAGAATATTTGGAAATCGTTTCTCATACATCATTTGTTCTAATAGATTATTATATTGACTGAATAATGTTATTAACATTAATATTGCAATGGAATTTCGAATTTCAATATATAGCTATATAGCAATAAAGATAATGCATTTGCGAAAGTTCTTATAATCCTAGGTAACTTGACGCCATTTTGCCTAGTTCTGTAACACACCAAGGAAGTAGCGAAAGCATTGATTATTATAAGGCATAGGTGCCAAAGAAAAATACCTCTTTTATCGATTCAAGTAATGCGAACAAATAAGAATTTCATGATATTTCAAATATCAAACGAAGGATCATGTAAGAATTTTCTAATCACCTAACACGAACTATGAGAAAAGAATTTTCTGGAACTACGACCGTGGAATTACTATTGTCAATGTGTAGATGTGCCATACCAACTAAATTTCTATAGAATGAAAATTAGCATCAATATTCTGTTGCTCAGCATAATTCGTTCGTTTTATTTTAATTTTGTCTTTTTTTGTAAAAAAAAACAAAAAATGACCATATCTAATTAAAACTAAATCAACGGAGTAATCTTGTGTTAATGATGGAATGTCCATTGTTGAGGTAGTTGTTCTAATTTAATACCATGTAATGATTTTGTAACATATAGAAATCTAATTATTAAATTTAATCGAACTGTTGATCTTTGTCGTATAAAAAATTGATTGAATGTTTCTATTTGAATAAGAATTAATCGATTAGATTGATCACGTATCATATCAATTGTTTTATTAATATTTACTATAGAAGATTTTTTGTAAAATTTTTTCCAATGAAGAAAGAAGATGTTGTCCATAACAAGCACAATAATGAACACAACTTTCATCTTCAGATGATGGCCATAAACAACGATCCATACTAATTTCATCTTCATAACTTGAATGAATATTACGAAGTAAATTATTAAATAAATTCACCATAAAATTAATGAATAAATCATTGGATGAGCATAATAATTCATCGTTTGTAAAATATTCAAATAAAACATTTTGTGTCAAATAACAATTAGTACCAAATACACTTAAAACAGAAAATAATTTAAAAAAATAAAAGTAAGACAAAAAAAAATACTGAAAATAACCTGAAAGACGTTTATCATTAATAATCAATGGAAGTATTTTTATAAATGTTTCTCGAACAGTATCAGATGAAAATGAACATAATTTCAAAATTAATCCCCAATATTGACATTTACGTTCCACTACAGAAAAACAAAAAATTAAAAAAAAAGAAATGAAGCAATAATTATTACCATTTGATGCATCATATCGATCATAAACAAGTTTAATCAAATCTTCTTGATTAGTTTTTCATGATAAACATAGAGGTAACAATTCACTAATTAAATTAAAGCTTGCTGCGAGAGACTAAACGGGAAAATATTTCTTTTTTTTTCGAATAAAAAAACTTCTATAATTACCGTCTTAATTTTTCAATTAATTCAACAATTCTTCTAGTTAAACGTTCATAATTATATGTTTTATCAATCATTATAAAAAGTAATTCACATGCCTAAAATAATCTTTTCCTTTTTTTTAAAGATTTAAATCGAAAAAAAAAAATTTTCATTACTTTTTGTATAAAGTTATTCATTAAATAAAGGACTAGGGCCGATAAGACTATTTTTCTGCCCCCAACAAAATTGACCTTTTTTTATCGATTCATAGTCAGACATGATGCCTGATGATATTTCAGGGGTCAGATTTTGAAAAACTGACC